GAATGTCATTTTTCACTACTGAAATGAGAGGCGTTCACCATATATAGATGAGCTGGCTTGAAAACTGCCACCACTTCCTCCATCGTGAACAGAGCATAAGAGTCAGTGCCTATGCAGTATGACAAGATGGCCTCCTGAGCCTCGATTATTTTTCCTGTAAAACAAAAAGAATAATATCTATCTCCTAGCAGACGTTGAGAAGAATGATGCAATACACCCGGCCCTAGGCCTGACACTTAGTTATTAAACATGTGTATTTGTTTCTTTTCCTTTGACTCTCCTTTTGACCGTAATGTTTTGAGCTTCCAATTTTATATCACTTACCGTATTTTCTTTCATGTCCTCATCTCAACTCTCCTGCTAGACAACATCTTCAAGTGCACCTGAAGATCCCAGGACAGTCCATCTCGTCTCAGCGTGCCTAACACCTGGTACGTCTTTAAAGTGCTGATTCCTGAGATCTGTCTCAAAAAACTATGATTCCAAGCGTCTGTCTGGGGGTGGCCCAGGAATCTGCTGTATCATCAAGGACTCCCAGCTGTGCTGAAAGAGGTGGTCAAGGGCCACACTGAGAAAAGCTTGCTTCAGAAGTCCTAGAGCTGAATTTTCTTCAAATTTGGACCTGAACAAAAACAGCAAACCTACTTTTCCAGCTGCCCTCAGAGCCTCAGGCTGAGCTGACCCAGAAACCTGAAGCAAGCTTATCTATCACCCATGCTACCTGTTTCTTCTCTTCTTGATGATGAGGAAATATCATTTCTGCCTGTCCGGCACCCAGTTCCCCTCTCTCTGGTAGCCCTCTAGATTTTTTTCTAACAGAAATGGTTCAAGTAAAGTGGGTGCCCCCCTTCTCCTCACCCCCGACTCCCAACTCAAGTCAGTGAAGCCCAGCGTCTAGGCCATTTACTACAGAACAGAGGAAAGGGATGTCCTTCCTTCAGGGATACTGAACTGTTAGGGACCTAAGCCTGCCAGGTCTTGTCTCACATAAATAAGATAGAGTCTGCTGAGAATGACACAGTAGAGGCTGGGCAGGTACCCCGGTGACAGACATCCTTTGGTCCCTTGTAACATGAGTTGCTCTCCTTTTGGCTGACGTCATTTAAGCTGGAATTTCTCCTAAAACCTGACTAATGCATAGAACTCGCCACCCACACACCCAAATAAAGGCCCTCTGTCTCCTCCTCTCACCCCCACCCTCTGCAGAGAAGGATCCTCTCTCTCTGAGCCATCTCCATTTCCCTGCACCTCACTCTCCTCACAGAATGTCCCCTCTTCGCCACACTGAAACCGAAAGGACTCAAGTATCCTGTGTTCCGCAGGCAGGGACCTTCCTCTTTAGATAGGGTCAGGTCTGGTCCACTTTTCTTTTACTCTTTAAGGGGAAAAAAAAATCCTTTTCTTTTGAGACTCATGTTAACAAGCTTACTGTTCACTACGAATTCCCTGATTATTTATTTCACTTAGGACTTTGACACCTGTTTTGCAATCTCCCCTTCCATCCCTGCCATCATTCCAGAAGGATCCCAGCATTCCATTCAGTTGCCTGTAATCATAGTTTATGTAGCATTTACTGTGTACCAGGTATGGGTCTAAGCACTGTATGCACATTTTAGCTCACTCAACCCTTTTCATAGCATGAGGTATTATTATCCCCATTTTATGAATGAGGAAACTGAGTCACAGAAAGGCTATTTAGTCTTGTCTAGTGTTACCCAGCTACTAAGTGCAGATGTGGACAGGGGAATATAATTGCGGAGCCTGGGCTTTTACCACACACAAGCCTCCCAGTTCCCTGTAATTGTGGCATTCCCCCATATCCATTCTATATTGGTCTCGTGAAGGTACGAAGTAGTCAGTACCTCCTCCAGCTGAGTCACTGGACATTAGGAAGTTCTTTGGAGAAGAAGGACTGTCAACTGAGGATGGTTTGTACTTCCTCTTCCTGCAGCTGAATTATTTGTCGTCTCCCATGTAAATATGCCAACTAATAGATAGGTCCAGAAGCTGGGCTACAAGTTTGGGCTGAAGATACCACAGCAGAAAAGCAGGTTACACCCCAGGTACCCTATAAGGCCTCTTCTCTACCAGGTGGTAGCTGCATTCAAGCCAGTCTCTCCTCTCTCTGTCTAGGACTGTCCTGAGAATGCCCATATCCTTACCTGTGGCCCTCTGCTCCTCTGCCTTCAAGAAACGTTGCACAGTAGGTTCAAACTTCTGGGTTTCTTCCTGCCTCCTTTTGAAGAACGAGAAGGAAGCCAGGAGCTCCAGGGGAAAGCCAGGGAGCAGTTCCATCATCCCAGGCGATCACACCCATGCGTGGCTTCATCGAGAGCTTCCCCACCCTGAAAATTCACGCTCAGACTCCGCCCCCCAACATCAGCCCACTTCCTTGTCAGTCTTTCGGTTTTTCTTCTTCTCTCCAGCTCAACAGCTTCTCCACCTCCACTTTCACCTGCTGAGAGACCATCCTGGCTTCACAATGCTTCCCAACATGCCTTTAACATTCCCAGTCTTGCCAGACTGAAACGTGCATCCCCATATTAACAACGAGCCCTGCTCCAGGCTCTGCTACTGCTAGAAAAAAACTCACACAAATGCGTGTATTGGTGTCATTAGAAATATAAGGTCACCAGGCTCAACCTGGCATCTCCATGGCCCCAAACAAGCCTAATTAGTGCTCACAACAGCTATAATTATAACTGTTTATTGAATGCTTACTATGTGCCAACCATTGTCCTAATCACTTTACAAGTACTTTAACCCTCAAAACACTACCACCATGAGTTAGGGACCATTGTGGATGAAAAGGGGGCCTGACAAGCTCAGGGGAGGTCCACGTGGTAGGCCTTATAAAACCAGAGACCAAAGTAACTGCACAGGATGGTCTGAACATAAAAATTCCTAGCTAAAAGTGGGTTATGCAAGTATAGTTGTGTGTTAGGCCTGCAGCTTCCTTGACAAAGATCAATCTTTAACTTGGAAATTATCTACTGTTTTTGTGCATCTCAGATTGTTGGCAGGAGCAAAAATGACACTAGGTGTTAAACCAGTGGAGTCAAACCAGACCTCGGTTCAGCAACCTTGGTACTCGAGTTCTGGCTAAGAAAGGATTCCGAGACAAGACTCATAAAACAAAATTTATTCAGAAAGTTACAGAGGTCAAAGAAGTGAGCAGTAGAAGAAATGGGCTCAGAAAACAAGTTTCAGGGGCAAAAGAAGAGCCCTTGATGTTTAGGAGAGAAAAAGGTAAAGGTAAAGGTTTTGAGGGGAGAAGAGAGGAAAAAGAAAGATGAGTCATTCTCCCAGGAAGGTGGGGGCCCTGGGGCTGCCATCCTAAGGGCTTTTAAGGGCCTGGATTTTAGGGGAGGTCCGAGGGGGAGGATCTCAATAGAATATTTATCAGCTTTCTGGGTGAGTCTTTTCAAGGGTGTCATCTCCACTGATTGGCAGGTGCCAGGGCAGGGGGGTCATTAGTCGATGCAGCTGGTCCTGATGTCAGCCATGAGGTGGCTTGCCTGGTTTTGCTGCTTTTCTGGGCCTGGAGCTGAAATACAACTGAGGCCTGCTTAGGGGTGTGGTTATGTAAGGGCCGCACACGGGAGTCACAGGAGGCCACGTTCCACCCCCTGCTCCTCTTCTAAGGGGGTCTACCACATGACCAGCCATATGCTAGGGGAGGAAAGATCACCCTGGGGGCAAGGTCCCTGTTTTCCCAGTTTTGCCCATTGCTAGGCACCCAGGGCTTCTGCCCTGGTGACCGTCTATACCTGGTCTAGGGTTCTTGCTCTGCTCAAGTCCGTCTAACTGCCTACCACAAAATGACACACCTTTGAAATGTCAGAGAAATCTTCTTTTCCAGACCCATCAGGGCACAACTGCCAGCACCAGAGTCCACGTCATTGTTACCTTGTTCCCACGTACCAACTCTCTGCGGGGTAAATGTTAACTATCCTGTACTCACCAACGTACAAGTATGTCTCTCCGTTTGGCTTTTTCTCCAGTCTCAGAGATTTCCACACTTTGCTTCTCTCACCTCCCAGGTCTACTATCAGTAAATTTCAAGGATCCTCCCCCACCTCCCCACCCCCACCCCCGCCCCAGCCAGAGCCTCCTCCTTTGATTCTAACATCTAAAAGAAGATGCAAAAATCGCTCTTCTCAGGAGCAATATCCCCCTCTGTTGAGATTTTGCTTCCCAGCAATTGTCAAGAGTTTGACCCAAATACATTCTTAATAAGGCTCCCTCCTATTAGGCTGGACGTTCTTTCGTGGATACCGTCGTAATTTCCATTTTACAGAACGTGAAACTGAGGCACCAGAAAGTCAGAACCTGCTCAGGGTCACAATCCCTCACAAGACCTTGTCTGCCCTTCCAGAGCTGAGCCAGTTCCCCTGCCCCGCTGCCACACTAAATTGCTGTGTCACGGGAGCGGTGGATTCATCAATAAAAGTGAAAGAACAGGAAGGAGAGAAGAGAAAACTGTCCCTTTAAATTCCGGAAAGAAGGTGGGGGCACACGCAGATATACTTCCTAGTCACAGTTACTCAGCACTTTGTGGGGCCGGGGTGCTGTGGGGCTTGGGGTTAAAGGCGGCGGGCCTTTTTGATGAACCCAGCCCTGCTAGGAGGTCCCTTCTCGAGCCTAGTCGCATTGGATTAAGGACTGGCTGATCCCTTCCCAGGTGAATCTGTCTGTGGCTCTGCAAGTGTACGTCTAACTGCCCGCCTCTCCACGCCATTCATAGTGCGTGCTGTTTAAATTGCTCTCGGATCCTAGCAGATTCTTCCCGCCCCCCGCCCCTCCCCGCCAGCTAGGGTGCGGGAGGCTGGTTGGGGTGGGGGCCTGAGGGGGAAGGCACCGAGGGTTTCCGGGGTTGGGAGGTGTCCCTGGAGATCAGCCCCGCGCAGACCTGGCCAGCTGACAGCGGCCCCGCCCCCACCCGGCCGTTTGGCGGCTCCAGGAGGCGGGACCTCGCCGTGGCGTCTTAGGCGCGCCCTCGCCACACGCACGCCGGCGCGCGCCCGCCCGCCCGGTTTGTCGCTATAAAGGGAAGGCGGGCTGCGCAGTGTCCAAGTTGTATTCGCGGCGTTGCATCCAGTTCCATCGGTTCTTACAGTCGCTTGTCAGACCTCAGCCGCCAAAATGGTGAAGCAGATTGAGAATAAGGTATGCGCTCCCGGGAAAGGCTAGGGTGCGAAGTGCAGCCTCCATAGCTGGGGAAGGAGATAGACTGGAGGTGGACAGGCCGCGGGTCGTCATCCTTGAAGGGGTCGCGGCGGCTCGGCCTGGGGCTGCGAGAAACCGGGGCCTCCGCGCCCTCAAGGCGCCGGAACATGCCCTGGAGTAAGGGAGGAGAGGGACGAGAGCCCCTTGGAGGGCGGGGGCGAGGTGTCCCGTGCGCCCGGGGATGCACGAGAGCATGGAGTATGCAGGCGTCCCTTCACTGCTCTCCCTACACCACCCCTGTACGGGAAACCTCGCTTGGGTGAGGGGATGCAGGGAGTCTGCCCTCGGTCCCCGTATTTATCCGGATACGATCCCGGAGGAGATGGAGGGCCCTCTGGAGAAAACACGGGGTTAGTAGGTGCCACACTCTCCCCTGTGAGTGGCGTGATCGACCCACGCTGGATGGGGTGGGCTCCCGTGGGAGCGGGTCTACGCGGGAGAGGTTAGCCTCGATCACGGCAGGCCCCAGAGATGACTGTATCCTCGCAAAAGGGGCGGTTGCCGGCCGCGGACTCCCCCCACCCCCCCTTCCCTCCCTCGCGTGTACCAATCCTGACCGGAGGCCCGTGGGGCCCAGGTGTCTGCAGGGAAGTGAGGTCCTGGCCGCGCCCTCGGGACTCCTCCTCCTGCGGCGCTGGGCGTTTCCGGCAGCTCTGGCTTTGGAATGACTCAGTCCCCAAGGCGGGGCCGCGGGGCTGTGGGGCTTCCGCTGCATCGCTGCCTCGCCGATCTGTGTGATTTCACCCACTCGTTGGCTCTCGCAGAAGCCAGGTATGCCCCTGGGTACTCGTCGGCCTTCGGGCGCCCAGATCACCGGTGGTTCTGTCCTTTTAGGAATGCCCAAGGCAAAAAGTGTTCCATTCGAGAGTTACTGCGAGCCTAATACCTTCCTGCACGGAGAACTCGAGAGTCTAACATAGTGTCTGGGATACTGTAGCCACTCAAGAAATGTGTGTAAAATGCAGAGTCGGAAAACTGAGTGGGAGAGAATTGGTGGTATTCGAACAGTGGAAGACGGACTCCTCGAGAGCATTTACCCCGCTATAGACCCACCCCAGTAAAGGCAGGCCAAAGGCAGGTCCTTGAGTGCCCGCGCCTGGTAGGTGCTGGGGCAGGCCTGGAAACCCTGCGTTTCTCCATAATGGTCCCTTATCTTTTTGTTACTTGTAGAATCAGAAAATATATATGATCCTTATAGAAAATAGGGGAGAGATCTTCTGTTTCCTACAGGCAGCCACAAAGTAGTTGAAATCACTTTATGTATACTGTTTTGTGTCTGAGCTTTTATTTCCCTAATTTAGCCTGAACACTTTACATGTCATCAGAAGCTTTTTATAATCATATCAGCATCTGAACACATTGCTGGAGTTGAGGCAGTTTTTGTTGCTTCAGTGAATATTTTGCTTGGAACACATTGTACTGTGCATTGTACAGAGTTAAGGCTGTTCCCTCCGGTTAGGGGCTGGAGTGTGTTGACTGGGTCGAGGGATGTGACCCTTTTAAAGCTTGTAAATGCCCAGAGAAACAAGAGAGTGTGCCTTGCTTTCCCTTCAACACTGACTTTCCCCTATAACTGGCCAAATCATGGGCAAGAAAAATTCTCTTTCTCATTTGAATATCTTGGATTACTAATGACTGAACTTTTCTTCTCCCACATGTGTTGATTGGCTAATTAATTGTAGTCTTACCTGCTTGTTTTTAATGGTTTTTTTTTTCCTATTGAGATTCTTTTTTTTAATTGTGAGCATTTATATTAAAGTTGGCAGCCCTCTAGCCCTGCCAGGGTGTGGCGCAGTTGGTTGGTGTCCTACCACAAAGAGAAAGTCGAAAAGCTCGCCAGTTCAATTCCTAGTCTGGACAAATGCCTGGCTTGAGGGTGCGTCCACAGGGCGCCTAGGAGAACTAACCGGTCTATGGTCTCTCACACATAGGCCTTTTTCCACCCTTCCCCTTTCTCTAAAAATCAATACATAAACAAACAAATCTTTAAAAAGAAAATTAAATTAGTAGCCCTCTCATGTGTTGAAAACAGGAGTCATTAATGTTAAGTTTTGTTCCACATGCCTTTATTTAATACCTACTGAGTGACAAATATCAGTTTACTGCGGGGCCGGGGAGGCAGTTCCTCCAAGGTCTGGCAACCTCCTCAGTTTAACCTAATAGGCGAGAACCCATGGAAAAGTGAAAAGACCGTTGAGGGGTCTGTGTGAGTTGTCTCAGAAGCCACACAGTACAAACAGGAAGTTGGTTCCTGGCGCACACCTTTCGGTCTTCCCCTGTTTTCCTTGTTGTAGTTACAGCACCCTCCTGCCCTAATCACTGAGATGTACAAGGGCGATAAGAAATTTCTTCCTCAGAAAAGCACTGCAGCACTGGGGCCCAAAGGCCCTAATAATCCGTCGATCTTCAAAATTCTAATACAGAGTCATTGATCAAAAATTAAACTACAATAGTTAGAATGTTACTTGTCAGTATTGATGGATTTGGATCCAGGACAACTCTTTCTGAGCTGTTGGTAGTTTGGAGCCACTAGGATCTGTATTTCAGATACAATTGGAATAATGTGATGAGGAAGAAATCAACACATGGGTTTTTTTGTTTCTTTTATACTTTTTTTAAATAAGAGATGCCATTTATTTAACATAGGCACTTTGCTAAATGCTTTACAAACCACTTCTGTGTTTATTAATTACCTTTGGTATGGTTATATTTAGGAAAAGAGATGGTAGGCTCTTTATTCATGTACCCCGTGTACAGAGTTTTGTTTTTTAAATATTTGTGTCAGCGAAGAGGACCTTGATTAAGCCTCATTTTTAGTTTCTGGGGGCTGGAGATTGTGGTTTACTAAGAAGTAAGGGAATTTTGAATTATTTTCAGACTAACATTTGTTTAGGTAAACTTACGCATCAGGAAAAGAAAATTGGTGGGGAAGTCTGCACATACGAGGCTCTATCTCAGTCACTTGAGCCCAAAGTTCTGCGGCTGTTGCCTTTTTCTCTTCAGAATTGTAGGTAGTTTTGCTGGAATTTGATTCAGAATTGTTTTGGGAATTCGTTGAGAGTGTTTTGAAATAACATTCTATGTTGAAAGGAATCTTACCAAGTATGTACTGAGAGCCAGCCATGTTCACAAAACAAGATGCAGTTGACCCTTGTACAACATGGGGCTTAGGGACACCAAGCCCTGCGTGGCCGAAAATCTGGGTAGAACTTTTGACTCCCCCAGAATAGCCTGTTGACTGGAAACATTACAGGTAACGTTAACAGTTGATTAACACATTTTTATATGTTATACATATTACATACTGTATTCTTACCATTAAGTAAGCTAGAGAAGTGAAAATGTTTAAAAATCATAAAAGAGATACATTTACAGTACTGTGTATATATATATATATTTTTTTATTCTGTCTGTAAATGGACTCATGCAGTTCAAACCTGTGTTGTCCAAGGGTCACTAGTATTCATCTTACCAGACAGTGTTGTTCTTGACTTTTTCCTATCTTATCTGGACCTTGCTCATGTGGAATGGCTTGTTTGGCCTTCTAAAAATTCATGTTAGGGAAGACTTTGAAGTTCATCTGAGAAAGTTGGTGATGACTTAGAAATATAGTGTCTATAATTCTAACTTGACTCTCCCCACCCACACCCAAAGGTGAGGCGGGATTTGGTACCTGCACCACTGAAAAGGTTACAGGAGCCATGACATGCGGTTCTCGGAAAACCACTTGCAAATTGTTTCCCAAAAAAACATGAAGTAGAAATTAGGAATCGAGAGAAGTAACTACTTCAGGGGACTTCCCCTTAGATTTTTATGATGCTTTATTTATTTATTTTCCTCTTTATGGGACCAGATCTGAGATAAGTCTTAGCGCTAATGTGAGGGGAATGTTAGTTTATAATTAAATCAATGTGACCAGTATTTTTCCCTTGAGGAAAACCTAAACTTCAGATAGATGTTTGTGTTTTGATTTCTCTTGCCCGGTTTTGGTCAGACTAACTGACAAATTGTGGTTGAAATGTGTTTCTTAACTGAAAGGTTAGGTTGCTTGGGTTACAGTATCAAGACCATTAGTAAATTATGCAAGGAGGTTGGTGGTAAGGGTTTTCTTGATCATTCTTGCTCGTGGAATTTTATTTAACATGCACTCCTTATGAGGACCTAAAACTGTTTTTCATTTGGTCAAAAATGAAGGCAGAGTTTTGAGATAAAGGGCAAGAATCAACTAACAACAGTATGATCTCAACTCTGGAAACTCCATTAAAAAGAATACAAGGAAATATGCTTAATGTCAATAGTGATTGAATGTGAGGGTTTGGAGGAGGTTAGTTAGTTAGTAAGTTATTGGAATGTTCCACCATAGAAAATTGTAATGAAAAAAATGTTCCCTAAAAAAAAAAAACAACTAGGTAGCCTGCAGTGTTGTAGGTGGCAAAATTCTGTGCCTTTGTGACTTCAAGTGACCGCTTTCATGAATTGATAAGCATTTCATTAATGTCTCCAAAATACCTAGATGTGATATGGACACATTTTAAATACATATGGCTGTTTATTTTCCTTTTGTTTGCTTAGTCTGGATATAGAATGACTAATACTTTATAAAACATTTATAGAGATATGACTATGGATACATTATATACATACTTGTTTTATCAAATATCACAAACAACACAGAGATTTTTTTCACACAATTTATTTTTGTTTTTTGTTTTTTTTTTTAATTAAAAGATAGGTCGTGCTTTCAGAACCTCAGAATTGTGCTTTGTGTCACATTTTATCAGGTTTGATTGGGGCTTTTGAACCACATGCTTTTTGTTTTCCCTTAGGAGGCTTTCCAGGAAGCCTTGAACAGTGCAGGAGATAAACTTGTGGTAGTTGACTTCTCAGCCACGTGGTGTGGGCCTTGCAAAATGATCAAGCCTTTCTTTCATGTGAGTATTAAACAACCTCTTTGTATTTAAGAGATTTGTGTTCGTTAGGTGGGTGGTCCCAAAGCTAGGGAGAAAAAAAGGACAATTAAATATTGGGGTTTGCTGTTGGCTGTTTGGTCGAAACATAATAATGTCTTTAAGTTAGTTTTGACACACGTAGTCCATTGAAGACAATTTTCAAAGGCTAACTTAATTGTCTTTCATTTTTGCTTTTGTTCGTTTTGATACACGGGCCCTGCTCTGTTTGAAACTCAGGCCTAAAAACTTGATGTGCCAGGATGTTTACACTAGGAGGAAATTGATTCAGAGAAAATGTGTGTCGCTTACGCTTACCTGGTCCTTAGTCTAAATTTTTCCATCTTTAATCAGTCTCTACTTTCATTACGTTTCCTTTTAAGGAGGCTGAATATTGACTGCCAATAACAGGTTCTAATTCTTCGTGTATTTTTCACTTTAAATGTTCCAGTCTCTCTCTGAAAAGTACACCAACGTGCTGTTCCTCGAGGTGGATGTGGATGACTGTCAGGTATGTGGCTGCGGTTCGGAGTCCTGCGGAGCCTTTCACACTGGCCTTTGTCTCTGTATTGCAAGTGACTGTTTTCATATACGTGTCAAATAAGCCTAGAGCTACAGCACTGGCAAAAAAAAAAGGGACATTTTGGAAGAATGGGTAATTGTGCCAGTTATGAGCTTAATCCTAGATATCATGAGGTATGTACATCACATCCTAAAATAAGCATAAAAATGGATGGTTGAAGCTTCAGTACCTTACTGCCCAGTTACTTATCTTTCTAAAAAAAAAACCTACATGCACTACCTAACATTCTGAGATGCTCAATAAATAGAAGTTGGATCCGACTAAACTAACGAACCCCAGAGTTGATGGTACCACCAAATGTGGAAACCGCTTCCAAGGTTCTTGTGAAGTAATGACATAAAGTGTATTCACAAAATTATTCTAGTCTTAGTTGGGGTCAATTAGATGTTTTAAAGAAAAACCACCACGCTGTCGAGGAGAGAGCTGAGAGAGTAGTGAGGGGGGAAGTTCCAGGGTTGGCTTAAGTTTTAACAAATGCTTGTTGAGGCCTCTAGGTGCCAGGCACTGTTCTGCGTGCTTTAGAGGTATTGAGCCGTTTAGGTTCTTAGTGCTGTCATCACCCCGCCCCCGCCTTTACAGATGAGGAAAACACAGGGTGGTCCGTGGAGGTGCAAGGGCAGAGCCAGGGTGTAAAACGAGGTCGCCTGGCTTCCCGGCCCTGGCTCTGCACCACGCTTCAGAGGGGGCTCTGTCATGTGGCGGGTGCAGCTCAGGTAACCAGCACGCAACCGTGCCTCTGGCATAGCCCACTGAACTAGGAGGGCCTGCTCAAGGCGTAACAGGTAGGGCCTCTCTGCAGGCATGTGGGCATTTCCCCAGGCCCCAGTGGGGAGGAGAGGCCTAGGGTGTGACGTGGCAGCAATGGTGCTAGGCCTTGGTTCCAGACCTGGCTCAGTGACTTCTGCTGTGGGCTGATCTCTCGTCCTCCTTGAGCCGTGGTTTTTCTATATGATCAGACCTTTAACCTGCCCCCATCGACTGGCCAAGGTTGCTTACTCACTGAGCAACCATGGCCTGTTTAATAAAAGTACTGAAGGGACAATAAAAGCGGGTCTATGGTTGTACTTTCTGAGCTTGTGAGGACCTTCCCGCACCACCCTGCTTATCATCATCAGCAGCACATTCTCTGATGCCACAGGCGCCCCTTTGCTGGCACTGTCTTCTCCACCGGGCACTGCCCTCCCCTTCCTGCCTGGGGAGCTTAGTCATGGGCTTCACCTCTCCCGGGAACGCTTCTCCAGTTACCCCCACGTATGCCCCCGCCTAGGTTGGTTTCCCTGCCTCAGTGATGTCCTGTGCCCCTCTTTTCCTCTTGGCGTTGATGGTAGTGGAATGGGGTGGATCCTCTACCTAGACTGCTTGCTTTACTTCCCGGCCCTGTCCCTTGTTAGCTGGGCAGGCTTGGTTAAGTTATCTTTTCTCTGCCTCAGTTGGATCCTCTGTGGAGTGCAATGTTAATGCAGCATCATAGGCTAGTCATCAGGAGTCAATGAGGTAATTAATACCTGTAAAGTGCTTAGAACAGTACCTGGCATGTGTTAAGTACTGAGTGAATCTTTATTATTATTGGGTTGGCCAGAAGGTATGTTTAGTTTTTTCCATAAAAGACACACTTTTCGTTTTCACCAATAACTTTATTAATTTGATTATTTTGAGCATGGAAGCCCCTCTTCCATGGCTGTTATCTCCCATGTGGTACCATGCTGAGTGTTCTCAGTTAATGTCCCTATTTCATCACTATCAACTTCAGCTGGTCTGCTTGACCATGGAGCATCATCCAGCAAGAAATCTCCAGCATGAATCTTCTCAAACCACATTTGACACACATTCGATCAGTCATAGCACCTTCTCCATACACTGCACAAATTTTTTTTCATTTTGGGTACATTTTTACCTATCTAAAGCATAATATGCCAAAAATGCTGCATATTTTCTTCCATCTTCAATATTAAAATGGCCAAAAATTTTTGCCTATTTCGATAAGTTTTTTTAATGCATGCTAATATGACAATACAATCTAACAATTGTTTCAAATGAAGTTAAAGACAACTAAGCACTATTAGAGCCATCTCACAGAAAAAAAAACAAATGCACTTTTTGGCCAACCCAAAATTATTTCTTTGTGTCTGTCCTTTACCAATTGTTGCTGTAAGTTTCTTGCGAGTTGGGGACCCTGTCTTACTCACATTTGTTTCTTCACTAAGCACACTTGCCTGGCATGTAGTAGGTGTGGAATGAGTGAATGTTACATGGTTATTAAGTAAAGCTATTGTTCTATTGTGTCCCAGTATTTTAGAAAAAAAGTACTGAAAATAGATACTATGTGTTTGAAAAAACCTTGCTGCTCCCTGTTTTAACCTAACTTAAGCCTTTAGAGAAATTTCTGGTGCTGACCCTATCAGATAGCAACTGAATGAATTTTTATTTGAAAGTGGTAACATGTGCTAGGTGCTGTGAGACACTCTGCATGCATAGGTCATTTACCCCTCAGAGTAACGATAAGAACAGTTTCTTTGCACCCGCATTGAAGAGGCCATGGGACTATAGCTCAGAAAAAGTAGGTCGCTCAAGGCAGCTGGTAGATTTGGGCCCTGCACCATGCTGGACCGAGGACAGGCACACTTACTACCTCATTGCAGAGCCTTTGGGAAGTGGCTGTGCAGAGCAGTCAAGGACTTCCGGATGCCAGAGCCCCTCTTCCACGTCATAACCACCCTGAACGTTTCCAAACCTTGACAGTGACCGCTCACAAATTGGGGCCTTTCCCTTTGCCTACACATTCGAAAAACCAAACAACCTATGGTATCTTTTTATTTAATAACTTTGGTGACTACTATTATAACCATCTGAAAAGCCTTATCAAGCTCTTACAGAGTGAAAAAGTGAACTAACTCCAGAACCCTTTGGTTACCACATAAACGTAGCTGCAGTCTCTGTCAGCTTCTCCTCACCTTGTCATTCAGCAGAATTAGCAAAGCAGGTAACTCAAACAAGCAGCAATTCATTAAACGATCAGTGCGTGGTTTTTCCCCCCGTGGAATCCATGATTACGTGAGTGGGTCTTCTGGTTGCTTGAGAACTCTGGATTAAACCATCACCTCGTTTCAGCTCTAAAAGAATACAGATAAGGGGTAAAAATTACATCGGTCCCATTTCTGAATACCATGAAACAGCTGGAATGGCCCTGAGCAGTATGCATAGCTTTCAGATCACTACAGAAATAGCAAACTAGCACATAGAACAAGAAGTGGAAAACAAAAGGAAAGCATTAACTTTGGATAGCAAAGACCACGTCCATAGATTTTAATAGGCAGGTGTGCTGTGGTCAGTGTCATTAAAATGTCAGACTCCCAAACTTGAACTCAGTATGATATTTTGGGGCAGTTGGCTGTGATATTCTGAAATAACGTAGTCAGGAAAATCCCTTGAAAGTCCTCTGGTTTCCTGTGACCTGGGTCTGGGGGGCTGCCCTCTTGGTTGCTGTCCTGCACCGTTTTTGCTGCTTAGGGACAACAGGGTTCTCCATTTCATGCCTGATCCTCTCTCAACTGCCAAACTGGCATTGCCAATCCCTTAATAGACCTCTTTACCTGAAAGACATGTCTAAAAACACCATTTTCATGGTGTTCTTTTAACAAAACTGAAGAATGCTTGATATGTCAATACCTTTGAGCTATAGAAAAATCTTCAGATGTGGTAAGAGCCACATTTAGGAGAAGAGAAGATGATAACGCACCCACTAGTCCAGTGTACACCCTGTGGGGTTGGCCCGTTTTCCTCATGTGGGTGGCCCACAAAGGTTAGAGCATTTGAGTCAGCTGGGGCTCAGCCTTATCCTGATGGACCCAGGGCTCTGGGGAGGCCTCGTGGTGCCCTCGGGGGACTCCAGAAATGCAGACAGGTTTGAGAACATATATTTTTAATTAAAAAATAAAATAAAAATCAGCACGCCCCTTTTTAGATTACTGTGACATGGTTCTTGAACAGTTCTTTCACAAGTACCTTGCTCCTCGTTCTGACACATTGGACGTCAGCCTTTATGATCATCTCTGTACCTCATTCCCATAATAAAACTGGAAAAACTGGGAGCAAATAGAAGAGTTGCTAATTCTGAGGGATAGGCGGGATTATAATCCTGAGTACAGTTAAAGAATTTGTTACTGTTTCTTAATGATTCTTGAAATAGCCAGGGTATAATTGGACTAAGCAGCTTATTGGATCACTGTATGAGTACGGTATCTGCTGCTAGTAGCATTCCACTCCTTAGTAATAATTTTAATTGAGACTAACCACTTAGGCTTTTGCGCTACCATTATATATTGTCAGTTTTTTATATGCTGGGGGGCGGCAGGGGGAGCCCTAATGCTGAAATATGGTGTATATAACAGGAAAAAAGAATCTGGTTTTGGATTACTTCTGTCAAAGCTCAATACTTAATCTTGTTTTTATTCCCTCCCCCCAGGATATTGCTGCAGAGTGTGAAGTCAAATGTATGCCAACCTTCCAGTTTTTTAAAAAAGGACAAAAGGTAGATAATATCTGACCTTGATGAAAACTAACTGAATAATAGGAAAACAGTGTAAATGAAGAAACGGGTGTGACTTATTCCTTCATACTGGGAAGCATGTCCCCATTGTCTGCTTTTAAAACTATTCAAATATGTCGTTCTTCATTGATTTAGGTATATAATGGTGCCATCTAATTGAAAACTGATCTTTGCTAGAACTAGTCACTAAACCTGAGATCGGCACTTCATACTTATACAGGGTCCAGCAGAAACAAGGACTGCTTGAGTACAGTTGGTAGGGTAATATTATGGCTATAATAATTTATAGTTTTAAATTGAACATTTCACCTAAAATGTCATATGGTGTGCTTGAGCATGGTAGTCATGTTACGGAATTACATGCTTATGACTTTGTAATAAAAAGATTTTGTAATTAAAAGGGGGCGTTATTTGTGCCAGACCCTGTATAATAAAGTACATTTATCTTTGTTAAGAGGTATTTACGCCCCCCCCCCCAAAAATTGTACTTGAGTCTTTTGCCTTTTCTTGAGGGGCTGTATTTTCTTAGTTCTTGCTTTTAACTTAAAACTCTTACCCAGGGGTGTTCATTTTAATTACACTTCTGCTTCCTTGCCTTCAGTCCTCCCCCATTGGGTGATGCCTTGCGTGCAGAACAGATGAAGTACTACCATCTAATGTCAATTTAATATTCTCTTAACAGGTGGGTGAATTTTCCGGAGCTAATAAGGAAAAACTTGAAGCCACCATCAATGAATTAGTTTAATCATGTTTTCTGAAAACATAAGCAGCCATCAGCTCTTGTAATTTTTTTTATTTACAAAAAAGAACGATCAAGTATAGATACTATAATACTCAACTGCCATCTGATAAATGACAATAAAATATTAATTCTACCCTTTTTAAAACTGTCTGGTGTCTTGAATAGCTTTCAAAATAAATGAAAAGTGGCCAATTAGACGATATTTATATGTGTCCTAATTATTTTCACATATTCTTGATCACTTTTTAGTAACCTGGTAGATCACTGATTGCTTTAAGATTTTTTTTTTTTTTTCAATTATTACTACCTTACTGTATTTCCAGGAAAATCTTATTGGGGGCAATGTAGACAACAGACTCATATGTTTAAATTGTTACTTTTTGACCCTTATGAACAAAGAAAATAATATCCTCCGTCCCTGCGGGCCCATCCCCTGTGCCCTCTGTAGGCAGCATGACTACAGCTGATGTCCACCCATAAAGGAATCATTTCTCTAGTTTGAGATTTCTGCCCCAAAGGTTCCCGGGAGCTGATTTTTGCTTCTGATTTACTCTAACTCCTGTGACATCAATGAGGAATTCTTCATGGTCAGCCCACAAGGGAATGAATTCCTGCAAACTGCTATGGGGATTTTGATTCCCTCAAAGTATCTATGAAACTGGCTTTATAGGCCAGATAAAAGTTCCAACCTGAAAGGTTACTATTTATTTCATTCAAAGAACATTAAGTGTTTCTTGTGTTATAGAGACAGCAAAGTGCTGGGGGAGTGAAGTTTTTAAGGTATAATAATACAAATTAATCATATGCCCCCACAATATCCTTATATTAATCTTTGCCCAAAGGAAGGTAGGTATATAAACCGCATTTCCCAGTGACAATACAGGCAAAGAGGGTTAAGTGATTTCCCCAGCATCACACCAGTCAGAGGATCCGAGATTCCAGCCCAGGGAGCCTGGAGCCCAAGTTTGTGGCTCTACTATTCTGCCTCCCACTGCAGCAGTCGGAATAAATAGTAAAACAATGAGCCCTTTCCTGGGTTCCTTTTCCCATCTAAGGTTAGGGCGCTGAACTTAGGTGATCTTTCAAAATCCCAATTGAACGCTTATTCTGTATGAGACTAGGGTTACAGCTGTAAGACGCCCTTCTCAGATTAAGGGTGAGAAAGGGAGGTGAATGGTAGACTAAGAATAGTCTACGAGACCAAAACGGACACATGAATCCCATAATTGAGAATAACAGACTGGCTTTGGATGGAGTGGTTAGGGTAGGGTGCTGGGAGGTGACAGACCTGAGTAGTGAAAAGGACCGAGCTGCAAAGTTCCGGTGGAGGGAATGGCGTGAACAAAGGCCACAAGTCAAGGAAGAGCTTGATACCTTCTAGCAGAAACAGGAACTAAACCTGGGTAGAGGGGCAGGGACCCGTCATCGAAGGGCTTCCTTGTAGGTGCAAATGCAAGCCATTGAAGGGTAAGCCAGAGGTGAAAGTACGCCCAACAGGTTTATTTTGGCAGCTGTGTGGAAGTGGGCGGGGGAAGGACTGGACCGTCCAGCTTTTGCAGTTACCTAGGCCAGAGACGATGAGAGCTGTGACTGAGGGGTGGCAGGGAGGTAATGAAGAGGAAACAACGCGCAGCTTCGATCGCAGGAAGGCGCGTCCAATGACTTCTAGGAGAACTCTAACGTGGATTCCAGGTGTTTGGTTCGAGCACCTTGGTCGTTGGGGTGTTGGGGTGCTGAGTGATGGATGAGGATTGGAGGAAGCGGGCCAGGTTCTCTGGACCTGTGAAAACTGAGGCTTCAGTGGTGAGGCTGTGGGCTGTTGGTTGCTAGCTTGGAAGTCAGGACAGGTCTTGACTGGGGCAAGAATCTGGAAGACATTATTGTGTAGGTGGCACTTACACTCAGGAATGTATATGATCACTAGGAAGGGAAGTCAGAATGAAGAGCGCTCCAGACAGCCTGACGAACTTCCATAGTTAGAGAGCAGTAGAGTAGGAACCAACAGAGATAACTTACAGGAAGCCCAAGGAGGAGGAAAACTAGAAAAGGGCTTTATCCCAGAAATAAAGAGGATTTCAGAGAGGAAGGAGTGTCAACCATCAAACATTGAGAGGCTAAGAAAGCCGACAGGAACACAGAATGGAGGTGGTGATTGTGACCAAAAAGTTCTATGAAGCAGTTGGGATGGAAGCCAGATTGGCTGGAACTGAAGAGAGTGATCAGACAGGACCTGGAAATGACACTTCATATCTATCCTAAAGGAAGTAACATTGGTAAAGAAAAATGTCCAAAGATAAACTGCAGCATTGTTTACAGCAGCACAAAATGGAACCTCCATAAATAAAAGAATGGTAAAATTCAACATGATAAATCTCTCCTAGGTAATACAGAATAAGGAGCTATCACTACTGAAATAGAAAAATCTCAGTCACTACTTGAAATAAAGCGAGTTGCAGAACAATATTAATGATGCAGAAGAGTATGATTCCATTTGTACAAACCACAAGACGTGCTATATACCTCTACATGTAAATCCGCATGTAAGTTAAAGGAAAATATCTCCAATTAAACATTTCTTACGAATCACAGTAGTGACTTCTGGAGAGGAGAGTAGGTAGAGATTGGTGATTTTTAGTTGTATCTGTAAATGGTTGGATGTTTCATAACAAGAATGCACTCGTGTTATTTACAAATAATATCTTTTAAGAAGTGATAGAATGTAAAGAGGGACAAACAGGGTCTGTAGCATTCATGAGAAATTTTGCTCTCAAATAGAGCTGAGAGATGGGGTTGTACATATTGTGTATAAGACAGGTGTGTCTGCTAGCGTGCACATGGCACTGATACAGAGGTAGCTACTGATTTCACAGGAAGGAGATACGTGAAAGGGGTAACTCCCTGGGTAGTCAAGAAAAAAAATGGGACTCCAAGCAAAATGAGAGAAACTGGTCATTTCCTCCATCACAGCCAGTGGCTAAACATGTGTGCATGAGCACCTAAATACAGAAAACGCATATTAAAGGGGAGAACTAGATAGCATACAATAATCGTAGGCAATTTAATGCCCCCCTAACATCAATGGATAGAGCATCCAGACAGAAGAACAACAAGGAAACATCAGACTTAACACATTAGAGCAGATGGCCTTCAGAGATATGCAGAGATCTAAAAGCAACAGAATGCACATTTTTCAAGTGCACGTGTAACATTGAAATAGATCATGTTAGGTCACAAAACAAATCTTAACAAATTTAAGAAGACTGAAATCACATAGCGCCTTTCCCAACCACAATAGTATAAAACTAGAATTATAGGAAAACTAGAAAACTGACAAATATGTAGAAATTGAACAATATGCCGCTGAGCAATCAATGAGTCAAAGAAATTTTTTAAAAAAATACCTTGAGACAAATGAAAATACAATCTACCAAAACTTATGGGATGCAGCAAAAGCAGAGAAAAGTTTTAAGATGGAAGTTTATCATGATAAATATCTGCCTCAAGAAATAAAAGAAAATCTCAAATAACCTACTTTTACACCTCAAGGAACTGGAATTATAACTAAATTACAGAAAAACCATCCTGAATTACAACTGAATATTAGCTAGAGAGAAGCCTTATAACCAAGGACTTACAGAAGAAACCAACCCAGCGCAATGAGACTGGTAGGAAGTGCAGAGACACAAGAGGGCTGGCTGCACTCCCACAGGTGGCAGCTGAAGTTCCAGAGGAATATTTCAATAGCCAGGGGTGGGGGCTTCAGCCTAAGAACTGAGGGGTATAAACCCTAAGCTGGGCTTCCTAGCTTAGACCACCAGAACCAGGAAAGGAATCCAAATAACACCCAACTGTGAAAAGCAGCAGGTTTTCTGTCTGCCAGGAGAGATGGCTAGAGGTGCAGAGAGCCTCTTATAGGGCCAATGCACAAAATCACGTTTGCCGCCATTTACGCTGAGCTCTGGCAGAGGAAGGTCAGGTGGACTAGAGACATGTGAGGAGAGTATGGCATTGGTGACTCTGGGGAGACAGCTGAAGGGGCAGCCACCAGAAACCCTGTGCTGAGTCATTCCATATTGCAAAGGCCATCTTTCTCAGACAGAGCATTCTCTTCCACACAGCATTAACCTGAGGAAAAGCAATAGCCCCACCTGCAGGAATCCCTTTCACCCCACCCTGCAGAGCTTAAGGCCAGGCCTCTGAGTACAGCTTGGGGCAATTTAGTGAAGCCTAACAGTGAAGGCAGATCTCTGGGAGCTCTGAGACTTTAGTTGACCCTTCCCCGGGCTGGGTATTGGTAAAAGTCATCCTTGGTATACAGCTTGGTTCCTTCTGCATGCACCCTGGTCCAGCAGAAGGAGCCACAAGCTATCGATCAGTGATAGCTCCAAACAGGTTTCCCAGGGCCAGTCACAGATAGTGTCTGACATAGGTCCATACCAGTGTCTTTGCAGATCTACCTAATACATAGAAACAAAAACAAAGAAACAGTCAAAATGGGAAGACAAAGGAACAGGACCCAAATGAGAGAACAAGAGAATTCTCCAGAAGAATTAAAAGAAATGGAGGCAAGCAACTTATCAAAGAATTTAGAGTAATGATTATAAGGACACTCAACAGCATGAAAACAGACATAGAAACCATAAAAAAGGACCAGTCAGAAATAAAGAATGCAATATCTAAAATAAATAATACCCTGGAAGGAATAAACAGAAGGTTAGATGAAGCAGAGGATCAAATCAGTGATTTGGAAGACAAGGTAGAAAAATAAACACCCAAACAGAGCAGCAAAAAGAAAAAAAGAATTTTAAAAAATGAGGAGAGCTTAAGAAGTCTTTGGGACAACGTGAAGGTAACAATATCCGCACCATGGGAAGACCAAAAGGAGTAGAGAGTGAGCAAGGGATCAAGAACCTGTTTAAAGAAATAATGATGGAAAATTTCCCTAACCTTGTGAAGGAAAAAGACACAGAAGACCAGGAAGCACAGAGTCACAAACAAAATGGGCCCAAAGAGGCCTACATCAAGAATACATCATAATTAAAAGTTAAAGACAAGGAGAGAATCCTAAAAGCTGCAAGAGGAAACCTGCTAGTTACCTACACGGGAGCTCCAATTAGACAGTTACCTGATTTCTCAAAAGAAACA